ACTCAAAAAGCAGTGTTGTGTTGGATTTATGGAGGTTAAGTGGCATTCTAGTTTGTTACTGTGTTATGTGGACTCATTGGGGTATAATGCTTCGTGGACACATCCTCAGGCCCTCTCCCTTTATGGTGGATTTATCTCGCAACTGATGCTGTTTGACAAGACTGACTTTAGTAACTTTACTACTACTGATTTTTAGGTTATCATTGTGTGTCATAACTTGTGTAGTCTTGGCATATAGAGACAGGAAGAGGACAACATGAGTTTTTACTATTGTAGGGTATGCATTTTGTAAAGAGACAAGAGTTGCATATAGTTGAGCTGTGACTTGATTTGGCTTCCAATAAGATTACAGTCTAATAACTTAAAGTTGTAGAATGCAGAACTATATGAGTGACTGGCACTAATGACTTTGGAGGTGAAGAGGGAAAGAATAGAAAAAGGGGAGAAAAGGAGAAGGGAATACTGTGTTTCGTTTTGTAAAAAAATGTGAAATTTTAAAAGGAAATATGAAATTTCTGAATGTCCAAAGACACAATGCTGTTCTTACTTTGATGCTTCTGTTTCTTCTATGCAGTATTTGTAATTGTGCCCTTTGGAACTCTAGTCATAGAATTCAAACAATGAATTGCTAATTGCGTGGATTATATATCTTTAAGTGTCTTTTTTATTTGTTTTGTAGATGGCATGATAGGAAGCTAGAAACACCCAGTAACTTCTTAGTGGATCACTTCCTTTTAGATATTCTTTATGTTGAATTAATTAGCTGAAGTAAAAAGCTAACAAATAACGATTGGTAATCATTTGGACTGAGCAGTCCCACTTTTCATGCCCAATTCAGTTTTGTAACCAGAATGTGAAGCCTTATGCACAATACACGAATAATGGTATTAAGTAATATCAAACTGTGAATCTAAAAAAAAAAAGTCTACATTAAGTCATTAATATTTGTAGTGTTTTGCATTCTCTGTCTTTACACTGTAACTATGAATGTGCTAAAGTTCATAACTTTGGCACAGAGTAATGTAATAATTCATTAGGCCACTTAGCACCGGGATTTTTAGGTGCATATAAAGCCTGTCTTTAACTTTACTGTGCTGTGGCTTGTGTTTCCACACCAAATACAGAGGTCTTCTGGAGGAGCAGGATTTCAACATGCTTTGTATAATTCAGAAATATAAAAATAAAACTTACTCAGTGTTTTGGTCTCCTTGTGGCCTTTTACATTGGTGTTGCCACACTGTCCAGGACTTCGAAAGCAACTGTATTAACAAAACCTACAGCAGGAAAAAAAAACAAAGTAGTAGAATGGAAAAGAAAAAAGGGATGTGAGGAGAAAAAAAAAACAAGGCAGCAATGTCATGACCAAACAGGTCACCACTGGAGCATTATAGTCAGTATATGTAAAGACATTAAAAGGAAAGATCATCTAAGTTGTCTTCTATCAGCAAGTCTTTATGTAGTCATCATTTAATTTTATCTAGTGAATTATATTTATTGCTTGGGGTTAAAGTTTTATACAATGAGAGAGGAAATGGCATACCCTGAAAAATAAACATTTTTCTTTTGGGGCTGGGCTTACATAAAGGTGAAGTGATCCCACAGTAAGTCAGGAACGAGAAATGGCAGGTTTAATGTGGCAGGCACACTGAACATTGTTTCCCAGGACTTCCAAACGAGGATTAGCATCTGGTTTGGTTCCTGCTCCATTGTTGTAAGCATGCCTATTTTAAGGTGCACCCAGTTCTCCATCAGAGAAGTTGGTGAACCAGGAAGTGGCTCAGTGACAAGTGGTTGTAACTATGCAAAATCTGGTAGTATATTAAATGCAGAACAGCAGAGTTGGGTTCCCTGTTGGTCTGAAGTGAAGGTGAGTGAAACAGGTTGCCTGAGGAGGCTGTGGAATCTTCATCCTTGGAGATGTCCAAGACTAATTGGATGTGGTCCTGCGCAAACTGATCTAATTGGTTGTGCTTTTAGCTGGGGTTTTGCTTGATGGCCTCCAGAGGTTCCTTCCAACCTCAATTATTACTTGATGTTGTGAATGGGCAGTTTATACCTGGGATTATGCCAGGCTTCCCACAGAATCAAGTACATGTTCCTCCTGCTGGCTATGCCCATGGAGTATGCCACCCTCCATGCGGGAATTTCTGTCCTGCCAGTGGAAGGCAAGCTCCTTTCAGTATTCTCTTTGTTACACAAACTCACAAATTACTGGTTTTAATCTTGAAACTTTAACACCTGCATGATTAGTACATTTCCTAGACACAAGAGGCTTTTGTTCCTACGAACTCTTGGATTTGTAATGTGAGAAAAATGCATGTGGCTGCTCAGTGAAAGCATACACTTTTGCTCCCTGTAGCTTCTGTTCTGCTGCACTGAGAGTGGCTGAGGATGGCTTGAAGTCTGGAAAATAACTGTAAAATAACTGTAAAAACAAAAGCAGGGAATGGAGAGTATGTTTGTGCTTATCCTTTTCTAGCTGTTGTAATATAAAATCTGTTTATTTGGCAGATGAAATGGAAGGTGGCCCCTTCACACACTGTAACTGCCAGTGCTCTAAACCTTCTCAGAATTTCAGTTTTCTCGGGCTCACATCATCCTCAGCAGTGGAGGTTTTGTAACTGTAATTTTGTTCAAGTTTCGTCATATCTGTGAGCCAGAACAACTCTTCCATTGTTCTACATTCTTGTTTGTGTAGTTCAGATAGCAGTAGGGAATAGTAGCAATTAATGTTGATTAGAATTCACTCAATGTGTGTATGACTGACATGTAAATTACCTCGTCTCAGTAGTTTGTGGGAGACTAACAGGATGCTCAGATCCTGCAGTATGAGATGCTACGTGTGGAGTACAAGATAGATGAGATTATAGTGTCTTCGAGGGGGGACCTTTCTTAATATCTTGTTAGAAGGTCATGGTCAGCAATGCACCCATAGACTTCAATAAGTATAAACTGTTTTTTTTCATAATGGGAAATTCTGCACAGCCTTAACCATACTGGTAAGGGTTTGAAATAGGTATTTGAAACAGATATTACAATCAAGCTGAATTTGCAAGTATACTAAGAATACTATTTTTCTAAGATGATACCAGACACTTTTCTCTTGAGTATATGGCAACTTGAGTCAGTTTTATTGTGCATAACTTGCTGTAGTGTAGGAGGTAAATAATTTCCTTATTGCACTGTGTCATGCCATATTGACTTCCTCCCTTCCATTGAGATATGATAATCTTAGGAATTTGGGTGTTGGTAAAATGATTAAAACCAGATTTTGCAGATTAGAACAGCCATACAAATCATTTTGCGTTAGTTGATTCAGAAACTATAGTTGCACAAGGCAGTCTGCAGAATAGGAATTTGCAAGAATTTTTGGCATATGCTTTAAATGTACCCTGAAGTACTCTTAAACTTACTGCAAGTTAATGAAGATATTGTGCTATCAGTTTGGTCTCCTGTCCATCTTGTACAAAGTGCTGCTCCTGTAGGATTTCACACTTCGAGGGAAACCATGGGCACTGATGCCCAAATCAAAAGATGAGGCATAAGGCTGGACAGAGCCTTGGGTGACATGGTTTAGTGTGAGGTGTCCCTGCACATGGCAGGGGGGCTGGAGCTTGATGATCTTAAGATCCTTTCCAACCCTAACTATTCTATGATTCTAAGTTCCCCTTAAATCTTGTGTTCTGCAGCAGGGTTTAGGGGTGGATTTCCCAGCCTGCTTCCTGCTCATCCTGGCAAAGGAGACAGCAGTGCTGTGGAAGTGCAAGAGTGGGTGAAAGGAGTGAGCTGTGGGCCTTGCCCCTCCTCCGCCCCACTGTGTTCTCTGCAGCCCTTGCTATGGCATGAAGCCCAAGCTCATAAATCCTGCAGAGCTTGTTAGCCAGAGCTTCATTCTTCTCAGGGCTTTGCCTTTGGAGACAAGCCCCAGCAGTTACAGGCTGATGCTTGGAGGGGGATGCTGTAATTTCCCATTATTAAAAACTATGTTTTCACACACGAAGATGGTATTCTGGCCCTTTGCTGGTGGAGACATCTACTCTTAGGCTGTGTTTCAGGCTTGTTTCCTGCAGTGCTGGCAGTTGTATACCATGCATTTAACTCATGGTTAATTTTGCATATGTTTCTTACTTGTGGGACAATTACTAGAAAACACATACAAAAATGGAAGATTACTGTAACACTAAGTTTGCCAAGTCTGTTGTTGCTTGTTTGTTTTATGTTGTCAGGGCTTCAGTTTGAAGTAGAAAGCCATGCCTTCTTAGACCCTGGGTGGTTGAAGGCAAGATCTTTCTATTTTTCCTGGTCAGCAGTTAAATAATTAATTGCTGTCTTTATTTTTATCTTTATAATTTGCAATTAATAGACCACTATTTTTTATTTATTTTATTTTTTTGTTTTATTTTTTTATTTTATTTTACTGGCATATTGACAAATTTCATGTGCAACCAGGAAAATCACAGGATTAGAGTTGTTCTCTTTCATGATTTTGTCCTGTCTCTCACCTCCTCCTCCACAACTTATTTGATACTTGTATGTATAATGTGCCAGTGCTGGTAAGAAACTTTAAAAATCCTTTTAGTAGAAAAGCTATGTAAATAAAAGAGAAAGCACTTGGCAGCAAAGAAAGATTTAAGAAATCATTATTCATGACAGTAGAATCATAAAACAGGGTTGGAAAGGACCTTAAGATCACCTAGTTCCAACCCCCCTGCCATGGGCTGGGACGTGTCACACTAAACCATGCCACCCAAGGTTTTGTCCAACCTGGCCTTGAACACGACCAGGGATGGAGCATTCACAACTTTCCTGGGTTAATACTGAGTTTGTTAAACTCCAAAACCAAAACATAGCTCTGAAGGTTACGCTTATGTGTTCTCCTGGTTTGACTCCCAAAGTGACCAATATGAAGTTTTCCTTAAAGCAAGGGCTGTGTCATGGTGCTGTTGCTTTGTGACCTGCTGTAACTTGGAAAAGTCAAATGTTGAGTTTTCTCTCAACAGAAAATTTTTAAAGCTGGAGATACTAACCAGGATGGACAGCTGGATTTTGAAGAGTTTATGCAGTATCTTAAAGATCATGAGAAGAAGATGAAACTGGCATTTAAGAGCCTGGACAAAAACAATGATGGTATGCCTTGATTTATTTGTTCAAATGTTGTTTGAAGAAGCTGTGAATTAAAAGTTATCTTCATTTATATTCTTTGTCTAAACTGGAGACAAAAATTTGTGAATATGGAACCCCTACTACTTTTCCTTAAAATTATCATAGTAAGAATTTACTATAGATTGAAATAGTAAATAATTATAGTCTTTTTTTCTCTTCTTTTTATTATCTTCCAGGTCTGTTCGTCTGGGGCTCTTTATTCCCCAGATGGAGAAACTCTAAGGAAGTTTCTAAGTATCTATGAAAGATAAAATACTTTTTAACTAAATGGATGTTTGCATCTCATTTGTTTGCATGTTTTTACTGTACTTCACTCAGTCCTTGTACTAGACAATCAAAATACATAATTTGTGTTTAAACTGATTTTAAATGATCTTTGCTATTGTGTAGGTGTTACAATAGAACTTAGTGGGCTCCAAGGTGTGAAGTGTATTAAGTTCCATGTTTTAAACATATATCATCTTTCTTTTAATGTTTCAAGGGAAAATTGAAGCATCAGAGGTTGTCCAGTCTCTCAAGATATTGGGTATAAACATTTCAGAAAAACAGGCAGAAAAGATCCTGCAAAGGTCAGGAATTACTATTTTTTTAAGTATGTGAAGCTTTGTGCTGTTAATTATTATAATTCAAAGAACAGGATAAATGGAATTATAATTTCAAAAAATGTTGGTACCTTCAGTGGTGCCTTTACAGAAATCCTTATATACTCCATCTGTTCTTGGGTGGTAGTAAGTTTAGTTGCTACTTGAGCATCTGGTTCTGGGAGAATGTTACCTCATTTCCCTGTAAATGCTGTTCATAGAACAAAGTGCTATAATATGTTTTTAAATGGAATATGCCAGATGCATTTGGATAAGAAAAGCATGGTATGGGAAGGCCATAGAGGATTCAGACTTGAAGTCTCCATATGGAATTTACAGTCAGTTGTCACTGATGTGATGGCCAGTATTAAATGAAAAAAAGGGGTTGGGAGTAAGGCAGTGAAACAGAGCAAAACTCCATCCCTGTTACTACTTCCTTATACAGTTCTGTTCAATTTCTTTCTAGTATTGATGCTGATGGGACAATGACAGTAGACTGGAATGAGTGGAGAGATCATTTTATGTTTAACCCAGCTACAGACATTGAGGAAATAATTCGATACTGGAAACATTCCACTGTAAGTTCAACTTTCCTTTTAGCTTAGTGTAGCTTGAAAGTTCATCTCTGCTCTGTTAATTTGCAATATTGAGTATAATAATTTCACAGTTGTTAAATTTCAAGCATACCTGTATTTGAGATTGTTTTGATTTCCTTTTGACTTCATGCTGTCATTTATAAGCATGACAGCGCCACATGAGGTTCTTTTGAACAAAAAAATTCATCTAAACCTTGCCAGTAATGATCAGTAATTTTTAGGAAGGAATTCTTTTTTCCTTTGCAGATATCCCACAGGAAGATCATAATTACAATATTAAATAATTATCTTTTCACATTACATTTTTACATTCAGCGCTTTTGATATGTGGACACAAATAATAGAAACATTTTAACTGTTTCTTATGTTGAAATTAGTTCAGTAGTTGTATTTCTATAGTAACATTATTACTATCTTAAAATCACTGGTGTCATTGGTGATTATCTGTGCACATGTTCCTCACACTCTTGTGCTACAGAATTTCATTTAAGAATGACAAAATATACAGCAGTAGGTTATCCACTGAGCAGATAAAGTTTTTTAAGTTTCTACTGAATGGAGCTCTTTCCACCTCAGTGACAGACTTTTTAGAACAAATAATAAGGTAAGTAAACCAACAGTAAGCCTGTTTGCTGAGGAATTATTGGAGTAATCCATGAAGTTAGGTAAAGACAGATTCCTTTGAATATGAGTGAGACCATTTATATCTTCAGAGATTAGTCAGCATTTCTGTAATAAAAAAAAACAGTTTATGAGACCTGAAAGCTTAAGAGTGTTTCATGCTGCAGCCTCAGTTCAGAAATGCTCGCCAGAAGCGATTTAGCTCCCTGTTTGCTACTGAAAACAGTTGAAGTGCTGCTATGAGATCAAATAGTCCTAGTCCCAGTTTACTTAGTGGAAAAAAAAATGCCTTTGCTTTAATAAAATGTTTCATATTAATACTATTTAACATAAGAGTTTGTTTTTTTTTTTAAATTATGGAATGTTATTAGTCACTCGTAAGAATTTTAGAAGTCTCGTGTTGCAGTCAGCTGATGACCCAGTTATCTCAGCAAGCAAAATCCAGCTCTACGGCAGCACAGCTGGTGTTTCAGATAAGAGCAGATGTGACACCTCGCACGCCTGGCTGGCATCAACAGCTCTTCCAATTCTGTTTTTATTGTAAAACTTTAATTGCTGTCAGATCTTCCAAGCAGATGGCTCCATTGGGATAGAATTATTATGAATTGCTGGATGTAGCTTTTCTGCTATAAACACCCTAAAATTTAGCTTTTTTTTCTTAATTGTGTTTAGGGTTTGGTAGACACAAGGTTTAACTGCTGGTAGATACGCATAATTTCTCTAAGAACACTGATTTCATATTGTAAGAGTTCTGATTATCTTTTGATGTTTCTGTGTAGTTGAGCAACTGATGACACCTTACTTGGAAACCATGAATGTCAGAAAGATGAAAGAATTTTCCAATTATACTGTGTTAATTACCCAGAATAGTTGGTGCTTATTCTGCTTGTCCAGTGGCTGTATCTATAATCTGTATTCTGCATTTCTTGTGTTCCAGAGGATCAAGATGGTGTTCTGCCTACTTAACAGATAGGGAATGAAGCATAAGTTAGGAATGTGGTGTCTACAATTAAAATTAACAGTTGTTAAAAAAGTTCATCAGTTAACATGCTTTCTGGTCAGCTACTTATCAGTTATGAAAACATTCTTGCTTGTTTAAAGGTTTAATTTATGCATAATACTGGTTTTGCATTGTCTACGGTGTATTTTTTCCTCATATGTCATGGTTATAAATACATGAAGAGCAGAGACTATGTTTAAGTGATATGTGAGATTCCATAGTCCTATGTCTTGGACAGCTTTATTGCTAAAGCCTGCAGTAGTGTTCTTTGATCAAATTGCAAACTTTTATAGTTGAAGAAAGTCATTCATGTGTCTTTCAGTGTAACTGAGGATAAAATAATGTATAAAGCATTACTCCAACTTGTAGTTTTCTTCAGTTACCAGAATATAGAATATTCCAATACATCACCTATAAAAAGGCTACTTTAAATGGTGGTGGTGGTAAGATCCCACATATGTGTGAATAAATTACCGTGAGAGAGAAATCTCTTGTTAGCATCCTTAGGAGATTACTAAACTAATCCTAGAAGGTTGTCTGGTGAAAGGTTATTGGCAGCATATAAGGATTTGAGCTTTAGTGCTGACTATGAAGGACTACTGTTCATGAGAGAATGCTGTTTGGGCCACACTCAAGGCAGGAATTCAACATAATTTTTAATGATGATGGTGCAGTCTTTGAAATGGTGGGTCTGTGGTGGCATTGCTCAGTATCTATGTAGAAGTCACTAAAAGTTGCTATTCATTGAATAGTAATAGCAATCCATAGCAAGTTAATTATAGAATGTACACTAAAGAGATATTTTTATTTTTCAGTAGCATTTTATTTACATGTTCTTACATGGTAGGGTAATTTGGAATTGGAGCTCTTAGTAGAATTGAGATGATGGAATGAGAAAGTTATTTGCACATCTTTGCTTTGGATTCTAATAGGTGTTGGATATAGGAGATAGTTTGACTGTTCCAGATGAGTTCACAGAGGAAGAGAAGAAGACTGGACAGTGGTGGAAACAGCTGTTGGCTGGAGGAGTGGCTGGTGCTGTCTCTCGAACAGGCACAGCACCATTAGATCGTCTTAAAGTGATGATGCAGGTAGGTGCAATGTTCAAGAACTTTTTAGTTTCCAGTATCACTTCAGTTTTTAGAAAGCTGTTACGGAAAACTGATGGCCAAATACAATATCTAAATTCTGTAAGTCTAGTTATGTTTTGACAGTTTCCATATTTTGTTCATAAAAATTATTTTTCATATTCATAATTGGCAAAATTGTAATCAAATATTATACTTGTACCACTAAGATGTTTTTTTTCAGTAGTGGTTGTGTTTTTTGCTAGTTGATGTACTTAAGCAATGTAATACTTGGGTGATGAGTTTTACAATCTAATCAGAGCAGTGTTCTTTACTATGACTTTGTGGTTTTTATTTTTAGGTTCATGGTTCAAAATCAAACAAAATGAATATAGCCAGTGGTTTTAAGCAAATGTTGAAAGAAGGTGGTGTCCAATCCCTCTGGAGGGGAAATGGTGTAAATGTTGTGAAAATAGCTCCTGAAACAGCTATTAAGTTCTGGGCTTATGAACAGGTAGGATGATCAATCAGGAATGAAAATAACATTATATCACTCTCACTGTTCATTATTTGCTCTCCTATATTATATAGGAATTCTTAGCATGGTTGTGGATTTTGTCAAAGTAATTATAGGATGATTTTCACATTATAAAATAGTCTATTTTGTTAATAGAATAGTGTTAATAGTCATGCATTTTAAAATATTCTCCAGGCTGCATAGCTTTATGTGTAGTAGTGCAATAATATCTAGTTTGTTGCTTTGAAGTGACAACAACCAAAATTTAGCACATTATGCTAGCTGAACTTACACAGAATTCTTTTTGAGTCAGATATAATGGTGCTATGTAAGATGCCTTCATCCTGGATTTCAGAGTTATATTTACCTCTGAATCAGCTTTAAGCATCATGTTAAGGTCTAATCCTCCTTTGGAAAACGAACTACCATTCTGTTGTAGTTAAAGGAGCTTTATTTTTTTTTCTGTGGGGCTTGCTAGTGCATCAGGTAAGACAAAATGAACATATTGAACATCTCTGTACAACTGTGAAATAAAAGCAATGAAACATCAAGTAAACTTTGGTATATTGTAAGACAGCAGTAGCTTTCGATGCCTTGGAGTAACCCTGAGCACATTATACCTTGCTCTGCTTTTGGGGGGCTGGTGGGGCTTTCTTGCATGGTGGTGTCTCTGTCTTGGTTGACACGGTATGTATAACTCTGTCTCTGTGAACGTGCTAGTTCATCTTTCATTCTTTGATTGGAGAACTGAATCTGCAAGGGAGTCGGGTTGCAGTTTGTCATCTAGAAGCCATTTTGGGGTACCCTTGTGTTGGTTGTTTGGAATACCTGACAGTACTGTGTATGGCAGAGGCATTTAATATAGAGGATTTCTGCAGGCTGGAATATTTACTCTGTTCTTGAGAATCTTTGTTCACAGAGTTGCAGTAAGCATAACACTAAATTTAGTTAGTAAACATAACTGTAAATACATGAAAAAGGAATTAAAGCTTGAAAAGACATTTTGTACTGTACTGCTGCCTCTTGTAGTAACTCTTGCCTCTCCTAAAAACCATGTGATGTTTATTTTATGTGTTTTAACTACAGTATAAGAGGATACTTACTAAGGATGATGGAAAGTTAGGCACTGTTGAAAGATTTGTATCCGGTTCTTTGGCTGGAGCAACAGCACAAACTTCTATATATCCCATGGAGGTAAGTAATAGAAAATCTGCTTCCATTGGAGACTTTTCCAAATGCATGGTTCATTTCCAAGATAAAACCTTTTTTGCTCTTGAAAATCTTGTAGGAATTGCTCTGTATTCTTAGATCCTAATTTATTTTCACTTTGGACTTCCTTTTAGAATTTCAGTACCAGGCATTTTTGAATATACTGTGTTCTATTTGATATTTGCCATTTTTCTTTATATTTGGCTGTATAATATTGTCTAAGGCAAGGTTTAAGTAAAGCCTTAGCTCAGGGAAAAAAAATCATCCAAGAATGAATTAAAAATTCAGTACATGTTCAAGTGTTTTCTGAATTGGGCATTAATCTTCTTTGCCCTGTATGTAAGCAAGGAATGGTCTCGTGTATTTCTGAACTGATGAAGTTATGCTGCATTATGACTGGGAGCTGGGTTTGGTTAGATCAGTGTGAAAGGAATATGATGGCTATATTTGAGGCTGGGTGGTTTAACTGCTTTTTCTTCTGTAGTACATGAATGTGGTACTACATGTGTTGCAGTTTAACTAGTTTTAATATGTTCACTGCTTTAGGGTAGCTATTTAATATCCTGCTGGTTTTTTTTTATTGGGTGTTTTTTAATAGAAATAGGATGAACTTCCTTTACTGCTGGTTCCCCAGAAAGTTTATCTTGTGTGAATAGCTGGAATATATATTGGGTCTGGGATTAAACCAGTACTAACATCCAGATTTGGAAGAAATGGAAAATGTAACTTAAATACCTTTTGCATTGGGAGGGCTGTCAACAGGAATAGAATTTAGCTGTTTTCATTGCTGACAATAATAATCTCTTTTTAAATAGCATCCTTCCTGTTAGAGCCGCTGAATCACAGCTAGCCTGAGTACAGAGATGGTTTAAGTTATAGAATAACTGAAATGTTATGTAGATCATCTGGATTACACAGATCAGTGGAGACAGGTGAACTATTCTGCAATAAGATGCTCAATCTTCCTAACAAAGGTATAATACTGTTCTAGAATTGGTGGGTATTTTAGGGTGTTTCTAAGTAAAAGAGAAAAGGAAAGTGCCAGGAAATTCCTGAGGAAGCTACAGTTTTAGGAGGCTTTAAAGTAGGCCAAATTCCTGCTTAGGAAATTTCCTGTGTAGTTTCTTTTGGCTTCTGTTGTTATTTTTAGGTTTTGTCCTAAGATGCTGTATAGGCTTATCTCCATTATTAATCAAATGTTGTGTTTCAGTTGAGACACAAACCTTATACCTTCTAACTACCTCTATGTTGTGCTTTTTGAAAGCCTATTTTCTTAATATGCTTTGCTTTTCCCAGTTCTGAAATGTGATCTGCTACTATGTTAATGTTTTCACTTGTTCTTCAGCTAATGCTTCTATTAAATACTGCTCACACTGTTGCCTTCAAGTTGATAGAAAAAATATGCCTGTTTGAATCAAGGAAAGAAAGCTAAAATGAAATTCAAAAAGGCTAATAATTTGTAAGCTGATGTATGGTAGTATGTGTGCTGCTCTGCAGTAAGGATGAAGTCTGAAGAAGCCTACTGCTAACAAAGCCTTAACAGTAGTCATCACAAAGGAGATCTGAAGTACCAAAATCCAAAGCAGTTCTAGACAATTGAATGAGCAGAGAGATACTGTGTTTTCCTATGTTTATAAAAAACATTAATAAATACATATGTATTTCAGGTAACTGCTTTTTTCATTTTTAGGTTTTAAAAACAAGATTGGCTGTGGGTAAAACAGGGCAATATTCTGGGATGTTTGACTGTGCTAAGAAGATCTTGAAAAGAGAAGGCGTAAAGGCCTTCTACAAAGGCTATGTTCCTAATATTCTGGGTATAATTCCCTATGCTGGCATCGACCTTGCTGTTTATGAGGTGAGTTTTGATCACTGAATACATGTAGTTTTCATTAGTTAATTTACGGAAAGGGTAAATTTTATTTAGAATACTTTATCATTAGTAATATGCTTGTGGTATTTCTGTTGTCTTCAATTTAAAATACACAAATGAATTTCCACTAGTCTTTCTAGACTGTGAGGTTTTTCTTTGCCCTTTTTGGAGGAGTGCCTGTGCCAATGGGCCCTTACATGCAACAGTACCAAACAAGAAATCTACTCATGAGGCAGGATTATTTAGACCTTGGCAATGCAACATGCTTGCATACTCAACTAAGCCTGTTGGACTTTAACATACCTGTTCTATAGCAAATATGGGCCTTAAAAACCTGAAATGGTATTCATATTATGTCACCTGTCCTGCATTTATGAAATTTAATACGTAAAATTTTTTGCCATTTTGTCTCATTTTTGATTGGATTATAGTAACCTGAATTCCTTGTGTATTTGTGCATGTCACCAGAATTCTTTGTGGCTGACATATAGTTGGTCTCAGGAGTTTGAAACACCATTGTCTTTTCCTTCAAGAGGAACTGACACCTTTTACACCCATCAGCAACAACTAAAATGTTTCATGTACCTTACATGCTACATTGATGCTTACATTGCATCCAAGTGTGTTAAGTAACTCGGATGCACACACTCTTTTTTTTTCCTACTACAGCAGTAACCAGCACAATTGCTTGAGCAAACATTTTCAAAGCAGAATGGAAGCTCTTTTCTACGATTTGCATCTTCTACATGGGGTGACGTGCACAGCCGTGCAAGCTTTTGTTGCACCCTGTGGGAGTTGTGTTTCCCTTCTCCTCATCCAAAGTATTAACAGGTCTAGAACACAGGCACTGTTCCCGCTGCTGCAATTTTGAAGCATTTCTCTTCCAGTCACTAACTACTATAGTCTGGGTAAAGTCCTTGCCTGTGTTCTAAGGTGTTTTTACTTGTGCACTTTAAAAGTAAGCATGTAGGATTCGTGTAGCAAGATTGGTGCTTCTCAGGATTGATCCCCTAAGTTTTGTAATGAATAAAGAGGAATTTGTTTACTTTGTTGAATGCAGATCTCTTGTCTTATTATTTAAATTTATACCTTGGCAGCTCTTAAAGAGTACGTGGCTAGAACACTATGCGTCAAGCTCTGCTAACCCAGGTGTTTTTGTACTGTTGGGATGTGGTACTGTTTCCAGCACGTGTGGGCAGTTAGCCAGTTACCCTCTTGCTCTCATCAGAACACGCATGCAGGCTCAAGGTGAGTCCTATTGTACTGAAAATGTTTCTGTGTGGTTGCATCAAAATTGCATCATTTGGAATAGCTGTAGCAGAGACATAGGGAAAAGAAAACCTAACCTGGAAAATCAAGGCCTTATCTGGCAAATCCTTCTTAACATCGGTCCCTTCTCCCTGTTACCCCCAGCATTGTTGTTCATCATACTTGATCCAAATGTAACATTTCAGACAGTGGTGCTCTGTGTTCTCTGAGCGCCGTTTGCTACACAAGACTCTGCCAGGCATAGAGCTCCTGTCATAGTCTGGGAACACTTTTCTAAAATCTAGAATGTTTTCATTTGATCTCTTAAAATTTAAGAAGAGACTTGCAGCATCCTGTGAAGGTAGACAACAATGTTTGCTCTGGAGGACATTTCATAAAGAGAGTTTCATAGCTGAATCTTTGCTAGATATTTGTGCACAGACTTAAGGGTAGGAGCCTAGATTTCCAAAGGAATGTAGGTGGATAATGCTTTTCAGTGGGATGTAGACACGTGGATATCTCTCAGATGTCTAGGACTGATGTTTTCCTCTGTGAGGATTCAACTTTTAATCAGTGGCCCTAGAGGTGGTAGTAGGCTCACTACCCAGGTGTTTGATACTTGCTTAAGAATGTTAATATTACTAGAACTGTTGTATAACACATTGTCTTTTTTGTTCTAGCCTCTGTGGAAGGAGCTCCACAACTAAACATGGTCAGTCTATTTCAAAGAATTGTTGCTACGGAGGGAATCCGAGGACTTTATAGGGGCATAGCCCCTAATTTTATGAAAGTGCTTCCAGCTGTCAGCATCAGCTATGTTGTATATGAAAAAATGAAGCAGAATTTGGGAATAGCATGAAATGAAGGAAAAAGGTGAGATGCTTCTAATGTTGCTGGAAACACCAGAACAAAAATGATTTCTCAAGTAATCTGCTCTCACAATAGAAATGGATCTTTGTGGAGAGATGCTGCCACTTCTACTTTTGCCGTGAAGTGGGAAGAAACTTTATTAAATTCTAGTTCACCATTTCTAAACAGATACCTATATTGCACTTTAAATGTCACTGAGTTTAAAAAAAAAACAAAAAAAGAATCAAGAAACTATCTTTAAATCAGCAATTTGTTTATATTTTCAAGAAATTGTGTGCATTTTACTCATTGGCTTTTTTTTTTTTTGTATTTGTCTTCTTTAAATGTGTATTTGGCTTGGATCAAACCAAAGGTAGGAGAAGTTTATACTGCCTTGATACTGAATATATGAAAGTGACTTCTTGTTTTGTCATGCTGCCTATACTTAAGCAATTCACAGGCAAAATTTTACATGCCTGGAAGTAAGCACTTACTATTGCTATTTTTGAAGACTTAAGTTTGTAAGAAACAGCATCTTAGATACAGATGAGGATGGAGTAACACATTAAAATGTATCCCATCACCTTATTTTCAGGTGAACCTTTTCGGTGTTTTTTAAAATGTTTTTATTTAAAGAATAAGAGCCTGAGAAACTGCTGTTCCACAGTATCTGAATACCTCAAATGGATTTACACGGTATTTTTATAATACAGTCAGTGATTTTCATAGTTTGCTTTGCTGGACCTGCTTTTCATTGCACTTGTAAATGTTAGCACCATTAACTGTGACAAGCTTTGGGTTTCAGCTGCATGCTTCATAGGATCAGAATATACAGGAGCAGGAAAAGCTCTGTTACTAGATCAATTCCATACAAGTGCAAGTTTGCATTTAAAAGTGGAGTGGAGGATCCAGTATTAAGCTGATAATGACTGTAGTACGTAGCCCACGGTGGAGCTAATCATAACTGCCCTGGGGAGAGAAATTCTTCACAATTTGGGCTATCATCTATTCTTTCCCTCCCTTACTCAGAGGGCTACTGTCCAGTACGTGCTTTTAGCCTCTAGAGGATTGCATTATTATGTAAAGGGTTTATAGGTTTGTCATGCAAGAGAAATCCTTTTTCTCTCACAATCTTCTGTGCTGGCTGTGTGTGTGAAATTCAGGCAGTGAAATACTGAGGTATTTTGTCCAAGTGACCAAATGGGGCTGCTGATCTCAGGTACCCATCAGATTGATGTTAATGAAGCAAGCAAAGCTCACACAGAGAACTTGTTATTGCTTGAGAAACAGCTCCTTAAAAAACAAAGCAGCACTTCCTCAGTGCAGAACAGTAGGTTTTTCTATGTACTTCCTTTGGGGGTGGGGATGGGCACATTTCAGTTGTCTTCAGGCCTGAACACTGAAAACAGAGTACCAATTATTGCCAAAGTAATTTGTTACACTTTTTCTGCTTTCTGCTATGTGTGGTGTCTTAATCTTTGTAAATTCAAGATTATCTTTATGCTTACCTTGACCTTAGACCACATCTGTGAAACTGGATTACTGAAGGAAGAACTTTGTTCCTGTAAGGTGATTAAGGGATCCCCTCCACTCCCCCTTTTTTTGTAATTAAACAACCAAATAAGCAAGCAAACATAACTAACTGCCTGAACCTCCCTTGTTCCATATGCTATTTGGGCCAGATTTTCCAAACAGCAGTCAGGTGTCAATCTGTGTTTAGTGCTTCCACGGCTGGTATTTATTCTTCATAAACTGACATTTAACAACTCCAGAAAAATTTGTATTATAAAATGTTGTTTTATCAGATTTCAGAAAATGGCAGCTTTAGCTGTGTCTTTTGGCCTTCCCTTTAGGGGAACCTTGGACTTTGCACTTTTCTAAAAACAAAACAAAAGGTATTCTATCCAAATCATCCATGTGTACAATGCCTTTGTGACCTGAATATTTCTTGGTTTTGCCAGCATTCTTGTATCTTTGTGGGATTTGTGAGATCAATTTTGTTTGACTGTGACCAATGAGCAAATGTATTGTGTGTGTGATGTGAGATGACTTCAGTGGTGTCTGTCTTCTAGACTGGGTCCATTTTGTTTCTAGTGTGCAAGTGCCATTATGAGTATTGAAAATCATGGTAATGATGTTTTCAAATGTTGAAAAGATGGGGTCTTTCAAATTTAGTTTTTATTATGTGCCTTTATAATGACTGTGATCAGTTGTGTACTCTTGGTCTCTTAAACGTATGTTTACCTTTTTAGCTCCATAAAACTACCATTTCTAATAAATCTTTGTTTCCTTATCTGGCTGGAGTGTGCTGATGGTTTTTTTTTTCATGGCCTTATGCACTATGAGTATATATGAATAATAGTGTCACTAAAGAAGGTAATTTATCTAAAAATAAGTTTGAGACAGGCCTGTGCTTTGCTGTTACATTGGTACTTGAAGACCTAGTTTGACATTAGTTGATTGTCATCCTGTTTAAAACTCTAGCTGTCTCTTCACTTAATGGAAGATCACATAATAGTTAACATTTCTGATTGTTCATTGAACAGTATCGCAGCATGATTTGCTTCTGTGTATGCTGCATAACAGGACTCTTAATAAGCAGGACCAACATACTTGCTTGTATTCCTAATGTTTATCTTGCTTTGATGTTCATCTTTCTTGTTAGTTGAAGGATCAATATAAAATCTTGTCTAGGTAATTGACTTAATTTACTCTGCATGTGCAGCATAGCTATCCTACTGAAAGCACGCTCAGTAGCCAGCTCTGACAACTCCTTAGGAGGTTTTCATATCAATCCTTCAAATGTTAAATATAATTGTAAATAAATTAGGGAGGCTTTTCTTGTCTCTGATTCTTTCAAATACAGCTCTTGAACATAAGATTTAGAAGTTCCTTTTAAAGAAATTAAGTAGATTCTCGGTGTATGATTGCTGACTAAATGAGCAATCTGACATGCAATTCTACTTGAGGCACGGATACTTATAACTGGAAATTCTCTGCAGTTGGAAAGGCTGGACTGTGAATGATCTTTCTCACAGTGACCAAGTGGTAAGGTGTGCTCTTGAAGATGTCAGAGTTAGGTGTCCCTCCCATCCCTTCATAAAGAAACTGCTACAGAGTTTAGCACAGGTATTTAAATATTGCTTTCAAGTTAGCCTGTTGGGAAACTGAATTTTGCAGTCTTTTTATCAAAACCAGGTCCTGCTAAGATGCTTTTTTGATGAATAGGAGTTACTACAGAGGCAGCGTGTATGAAGTTTGGCTTCTGAAACAGCTCAGGTCTGTAATGCATGTAGTACTATTATTTCTAATTGCTTGCAGTTATGTGCAGCAAAAACATATGGACAGTCAGTCTATTTAGGACAGCATACTTCTCTGCCTTATAAAATTATTTTTACTATCATTTTGAAGTTTATTGTGTGTTGATCAGGGAAATAGAATGCTAAACAAGTATCTCAACTCTTTCTTCAAGTTCATTTAGTTTTTAGTGTATTCCACCAAGGTATTTTCATAAATTGTTGAAATGGTGTGTTTCTATAACATATTCTGAGTCCTTCAATTAGTAGTGATGGATTTATAGGCTGCTGACTACTTTTGTCCCTTGCCTTAAAAAGTTCAGTCTGAAACTTGTGCCATTCTACAGTTCAGAGAAATCTTTCACATTTATTCTGTATCTTACCTTTTGCTAGGTGTTTCATATCTTTCAGAATGTGTGCAAAGATGGTGCCTATAGAACATATGACAAATATTGCCATACCACTGACTACTGCCTCTTTAGTTAAAGAAACTGAGGCATGTAGAGGATGTAAATCATGTAGCATGACCAGTAAGTTGTTAAGAGGCTCAGAATTTTGCGTCCACATCCAAACTGATCACTAATAGCAGTTAGCTTTTCTGGGGTGTTCCTTCAGCAAACAATATATGTAGGAGGCCCAGAAGGTAAAGGAAAACCTTGTTTGTTTTCACTTCAAGATATATGTGGGGTGTGACTGCTATTCAGCAGCATTCATACTAGAAAACCCACTTGGCAGCTTTCCTTCTGTAAAAGAACACTGGGTGTTGCTGCACTACCCAGGTGAGCCTGGGTGTGGACCTGTATGATAGCCAAATCAGTCTTCAGAGGCCCAGGCTGAGGTGACTTCTATTCTTCACTGTCTCGTTTCAAACCTCTGAGCTAGCCGCTAATATTTTGAGGTTAGATAAGGTACAGCAAGAAGTGCGTTGCAGTATGTGATGTTGCTATGTATGAACTATTGGAATATCAAGGCTGTCTTTACCTGCAGGCTATTTGCCATGTAAGAAAGTGTGTTTTTTAAATGTTTTCCCTTCTGATATATGAGTGGTCTTGGGAATGAGTTTTAAGGCTTACATTAAGATACTGGTCTAAAGTGCATGTTGTAGAGAACATAACTAGTGAGAACTGGATATTCAACACAAAAAGTGATTTTTTTGGAATAACAGTCTTGCAGCCTGAATTATGTCTAGCCCTTCTGGTGTCTGAAAATGTGTAGAAAAATTAATTTTTGTCAATATTCGTGCAGTTCAGGGTAAAAATTTTCTGTGTTCTGGCAACTAACTAAATGTGTGAGTTTTCTGCATCTGAGCTCTTAGTCACTGAGTCTGCTTTGCAGAATAAATTCAGAATGTTTATGTCCCCGCTATCCTCGTATGAAGCAGAAGATTTGGTGTCCATCCCGTTGAAGTAGGCAAAAGGCATGGAGCTGAAAGGTGGGAGTAAGGGTAGATGAACTTTGAAATGGGTACTTCTGCAGACTTAAATTAAGCCTTTTGCTAACATAGTTGACCTGTAGTTTAGCTCTTGCTAAAGCACTGATAATGGAAGAGCACTCTGTCTAAAGCAAATGCCATATGTTTTGTAATCGTTACTAGCTTGTGTCATGCATGAACCAGTCTCTCCCGGGAGAGCCTTAGCAGCCTGTGTCTTGGCAGTGTTAGGAGGAAATGTGCAGATTGAATTCCAGCAGTGCCATCTGCTGTCATGCTGTAACACTGATTTGTAAGGGGGGATGGCTTTTCTAGGCTATTTGGGTTCATTCCTTGGAGTTACCTTTACAGCAAAGGAAAATGTTTTAAATGTGTGGGAGCAGTGGACTCACGTGGGAATTACAGAAAGCAAGAAACATCATCTCTGCTTTGGGTAAGTTATTGGAAGAATCTATACTGTCTATCGACATGGCTATGTTTTCTTTTAATAAAAACTATTTGAAGATAGAGTCTCTGTAATGTTATTTTCTTTTTGCTTTCGTAAAATAATGTATGTGTCAAGATCCTTTATGCTAGCATGGAGGGTAAAGGTTCTTGAACCATTCTTACCACCATATTACTAAAAGAATGGTTGGTGTGAAACTTACTGATTCTTTTTGAAGATTAAAAATGCTATTCTGTATTTCAATATTTCCTAATTATGCTGCTGTCAAGGTCTGTTTGCATTTCGCGCTGTTAAAACACCACCTAACTGAACACGGGGACTGCATTGCTCACTAATGTTACAGATTTCCCCACTACATCATGGTGCAGCCACTGATCTATTTTGTGGACACAGTTGCTATGCTTTTCCAAGTTAAGCCACTCTGGACATAGTACAGCTAGCTCCAGCGCTGCCCCATTCATTTTTGCCCTTCAACTCCTTAACAGATGCCCTTCTGTTTACCCTACAGCCTAACTGTGTGTTTGACACAATTCCAGGCTCCTTGTCCTCTGCTCTCAACCCAATCTAATGTTCTAATACTGTCTTGTTGTAGGAATTAGGTTTGTGCCTTTCTTGCTGTAGAACCAAATACACCTTCATCAGTACATTGGATATTGTACAAGTTGGTGATCATCATGGGTTTCACCACCCCATGGAAAAGGTCCTGGAGGCCAATTCCCAGATCAGAGCGAGTCTCGTCAGGTCCCTTGGAAGATCTGGAAGTTCAGTTTATGTATGTTCATGGTAGTCTGTGGAAGCAGTGATTTGTGGCAGCTGGCCAGTTTGCA